TCAATACAAAATAAAGAAAATTGAACCTTATTTCTAGTATGTTAAAGTCTTTACAAATACAGAGTTTGGAGTGCCTTAGGTCGCGGCGGCCAGGCCACTGACCTCCCAGATCAGCTGATTTGACGCCTCTTGACTTTTTTTATGGGGATGTATTAAATCATTAGTTTACTTTAGTGAGCCAACAAGTGCCGAGGACCTTTTTGTGACGATTTTAGAATAGTAAAAAATGACACTGAATTGCTTTCTAAATTATTTTCTTTCTTTTTTAAAACGTAACCTCCACACTAGGATTTTCTCTTGTATTGTGGGGGCAGTGTACAAACATAAATTGCACAAGGTCAAACATCCAGACCCGGAACAATTATTTGTAGGCCATACAAATATTGTTCCGTGCGGGATTCGAGCCCGCGGTCCTTAGCGCTGCAACTCAATTGCTAAGCCACTGCGCCACGGAGCCGTTGTGGTTTAAATACAACATTGCATGAGAGTTTAGGCTATCAGTAAGTTAAATATTTGATTCTTAAAATTATTGTAATCTTGATTCACATCTTTTAAACACGCCGTCTTTGAATTATGTTAGTTTTAGCAGTTCATTATAATCTATACAAATAAATAAAATTGAAGTGTCTGTTTGTAATGTCAAAATTACAGTTTTTTACTAAATGCATATGAAAGTAAATACGATACCTATAACTAAAATACAATTTTTAAAATTTTTGTCTGTCTGTCTGTCTGTCTGTTTGTTCCGGGTAATCTCCGAAACGGCTGGACCGATTTTGACGGGACTTTCACTGGCAGATAGCTGATTTCATAAGGAGTAACATAGGCTACTTTTATTTTAGAAAAAGAATCAGGGTTCCGCGCAGAAACATAAAAACACTAACACGCGAACGAAGTCGCGGGGATCAGATAGTTTACAAATACAATTAAAATGTTATGCAAATTCAAAAAAAAACTAGCAAGTACCTACACCTAGCGTTCGTGGTTTTGTACGGTGACCACAACATTCTTCCGGAATTAGTATAACTAATTTAATAAATAATCAATGCATAAACATGTTTTAGTAAGAATTTAATAATAATTAAAAATAATGTATTATGATTATAACATAATATACTAATTGGGGTGTCTGAGGATGCGCGTTAATTACGTTAGATTTTGTACATAAAAAAAGTAAGAACACAGGTTAGTAAGTATTTTAGAAAACAATTTATAGATAGGCTGAATTAATTATAATTATTATCTAAACATTATAAATGCGAAAGTTTGGATGTTTGGATGGATGGATAAATGGATGTACGTTACTCAATCACGCCAGAACGGTTGAAGGGATCTGGATGATATTTTGCTCAGAGATAGGTTTATATAACACATATGATACCGTTTATTCAGGTATTTCGTTTCTGTTGCATAATTTTGGAGTTACATGCGTTCGAAGCCGCTGGCAACAGCTAGTACGGACATAAACTGCGAAGACTGTTCAAGTTCATGTGTCGGCGTCGTGAACTCTTGAGTGATCGCTGCATGAACACCCGGGGAAAACTCAACTTCCCTCTCCAATGAGTCATATATGACTCACAGGAACGTATTAGAATAAGTTCATGAGTCACAGGTGACTCATTTCTCAATACAACTTAAGGCACATTTGTTGGTATGAACGTGACGTGATATTGTTTTAAATCATACGTGGACGTATAGTAAAAAACCTATTGTTTATAATAATAAAAGAAAACTTCGCAATTTTTTTTAAAGTTGTCATTTAATAACTACAATAAACTTGCTATAAATAAAACTCAAATACTGAAGGTGAGGATTTTATTCAAAGAAAATATTATAAAATCAAGCATGTTTCTCATTATAACATTCTAAACTGAATGCCTTTTCACACCTTTTGCACTCAGTGTGTACTTGCTTAGCGTTTCTAGCCAATAATCCTTCATTTTTCAATTTGACATAGCAGTGCATCTATCTCGTACGAGTTTATTGTCGGCCTTTCGTGGTATTTCTTCCAGAGAATGTCCAGAATTGCTTGAAGAAGCAATTGAAGATCTTGGAAAGCTACAGGAGATTGAAGATCTTTGAGGAAGATTACTTTCTGCGGTTGATGCTGCAGGTCCAAGGAAATGTCGAACTAGATGTTCTTGGACTTGTAAAATTATTATATAAAATTATTATAATAAATTATATAATAGTTCGATTCTATAACTATCAATTTTGCAAATGCATCCTTAATTCTAGTGACTAGCGACTAATAAGTAAGTCAGGTTGCAATGTTATTGATTACTCTATGTTTCTTTGATAGATATTTTAGTTTTGTTTGTGATTATTATTTTGATATAGTGAAGCAGTGTTTTTGTTTTTCAAGTCCACCTTAGACAATATCGTCGCTGCCACCGCCAAAGAAACGAAACGGCAACGTCGCGGATTTTTTCAGCCAATCCGATCGTTTGATGTGCTCTGATTGGCTCATTTAAATCGGATCAACATTTTGCGTAACTATCGCAAGGTGGATTTGTATATCAGATCAACTTCGGGGAACGCTAGTAAGTAGTCCCGTGAGTGTAGATGTTGATCCTGTCGGAGCAACATTAGTTACCAGAGATGCATATTGGATCAAGAAAAGGCGTCGGATCAACATACATTTTCGGATCAACAAAGTGCTCGCGTGAAGTCGCGTCTGATCAACATTTACCGTGAAGAGATCTCTATATATATATATATATATATATATATATATATATATATATATATATATATTCTCATTAGAATGTCATTTTATTGTTAAGTATAACTCGTTAAGGTTAATGGTATTTTAATTTATTAAAAAAGCGAACGCGAAATCGTAAACAGTACCCAAAATCATTGGTAGAGATAAGTAGGTATAAAATTTACTTATCCGTACCAGTAGGGCTAATTAGTAGGTCTAAGTGTACTTGCCGAAATTCTCTGTATTTTTTTTTGTAATGATGTGACATATAGACATCTACAATTAACCTCGATTAATAATCAAAATGCAGATGCGTTGCGGTGACAACCTAACCTACCTAAGGACTAAGATGGAATGTCTCGTTTCCAGTAAAAAGGGTCACCGGTTCTCTATAATCGCCATACGATACACAGCAGCATTAAGCTGCTATTTTACGCTGGTATTCTGCGAGAGTGTGGTCCTACTAAGGTCGAGCCGACCCATTTGTGCTACAAATATAATATTGCTGAAGCGTGGCTCCATCACATATAAAGTATCCTCTCCGCTATTGGGGCTATGGAGAGTTTTTACCAGACTCATGTGGGCTAAAACCTCACAGTGGTTGCCATCAACGCAGGCGGGGGTCTCCGTTCGAAGCGCAACCGAAGACCCTCCATCGCTTTGTATATTTAAACAAATCCCCCGGGTTTTGCATGCCTTAAGCGCAAAGTGCGTAGGTATGTTCTACTAGCGCCAAAAAATCAAGATTCCAACGTTTTGTGGCATCAAATCGTATCTAACAATCATATTGAACATATAAATGATAAAAAAGCATATTGTCAGAAAGATAAGTGATTTTTGAACTTATTTTTTTTAATCGATCAATTACTATTTTCACATAAAAAAGCGGTTTAAGTGGCATGAGGTGTACATATATAAGTCCGCATGGAGGCGTAAACACAATAACTTTTGAAAATACCAATTGTCCAACTAAATCTATTTTTTAAACTCTTCATCTATCATATGTGAAGCCATGGAATGTAAATGGCAGTTTAATTTTGTTTTGTTTAGTTATAATTAATTAAAATCAAAAATATTTCCAAGTATTACCAAATTTGATACATACTTGACCAATGTAAGATATTATTATTATTTTTATAATCACAGTAATATTTTGTTTCACTAAAAGTACGCAGGATTTATATACTATAAATATACTTATTCGTCTTGGACTTTATGGAGATCTGAAGGTGTACTTCGATATCCTGCTACTGGAACTCCTCGAGGAGTAGAACTAGTTGAGCCGAGATTGTGCTGGCTATGTAAGTTATGATGAGACCTTACCCTGACTTGAAGGTGTACTTCGGTGAATGCTACTGGAACTCCTCGAAGAGTAGTAACAGTAATACGAGTACGTGTGCTGAGTTTGGGGTCGTTTTGTTAGTTGTGATGAGACCTTACCTCCGGACAGTGGCGGATTATCCTTAAGACAAACTAGGCACGTGCCTAGGGGCGCAAGGTTAAAAATGCGCGCGTGGAAGTTTTTAAAGAAAAAAAATCGTCGTATTTGATTACTCCTATATCGCTCTTACTTTCTCATCACATTTTTCACTTATTGCCCCCCTGTTAATGGTACTCGTATCCTAATTATTTTGCAATTATTAAGGTTGGAAGTCGTCGAATCTGCGTGCGAGACGATTCGTAATCACTCTCGAAAACAGCACGTAGACCCGGTTCAGAAGGGAAATCGGTCTGTAGTTCTTCAAGAAAGCGTTATCGCCTTTCTTGAAGAACAAGACCACCGCACTCCTGCTCCACGCCTCCGGTGTAGTGCCACCATGGAGGACGGAATTAAAGAGCTCCTGAAGGACTTTAAGTTAAGCGGTTTTCCACCAGCTTTCGCCCGGAGGCTTGCTGTTTTTACTAGTAAAAATGGTATCCGGTTCTCTATACAAAAATAGCAGCGGTTGGCTATTTTACGCTAGTATTCTGTGAGAGCGTGGTCCTTCCCTGGTCGAGCTGATCTATATTTTTTTTCATAATTCATAATTCATTTATTGCATGTCACAAAGTATAAAGTTGTTACAAGTTCGCATAAGATTATTCGTGCTGCAAACACAGCTGCAGCATGTCTCCACCACGTAAATAACACCTGGCGCAACACAGAAGTATCGCGCGACACCCCGTGTTTGGTTTGGCGCAGTCTTGAGCAAAAAAAACATTAACATTAAGTCAGTCACTTTCTAGCTAGTTAGGTTAGAAAGAGTATTTAGGTTCATATTTACTATTCATACTCAATTTCTTTTATTTCTAG